TGCCATTGATAATCACTTCGTACACTTATAGCCTTATAGGTCTCTTAGCTTGCACTCCTCCATTGTTCTTGAAATACACAGATAAATCACTTTTCCAATCGTTGTAGCACTTTCGAGCATCTTGAATCAATACTTCATCAAAAAGCTTGTCATTATCGCACTCAAACCAGTCCTACGATATGTAAAACATGATCATTATTAGAACCTTGGCTGAACCTCTCCCTTTCCATTTTGTTTTTTGTGTTTCTGAAGCTATAAAATTCATTAAGCAAAATATAAGCTAGTATTGATCATAAATAATTTATATTTTGAAAAGTGTTAACAATTTTAATTGCATTACATCATACCTGACTCACACGAAGAGGGCACTCTATGGGGATCTCGTGGAGGTTGGGATCCTGCCAATGGCGCACCCAGAAGTTTCCCGAAGCAGGGGCACTCCAACATAGATGAAATATAATACCATCGTGTTAAAAATGAAGTATAAGTCAAGTTTAGGATTTTATCATTTAATACAACTTTATTTATTAATATGATTATATATATATATATATATATATATATATATATATATACCTTTTACGAGTATCATATTATAGAAAAAAATTAAACGGTTTGTCAGTTTGAAACTAATTTATCGCGAATTGATACATTCTTTCATGTATGGACTTTTATTCAAGATAAAAGTCTTCAATCTTTTAAGTTTATCCTGCATATTAGAATCTTTTTCATATCTTTGAACTTTAACTTTGGATCGACATTATTCATAACAAGTAAAAAATCATCAATGTCACTTTTCAAAGAAAGTGCAATAACCATATAACAACATATCTAACTATAAGAATTTGCTCCATCACAACTTCAGAGTTGTTTATATTTCTTACTACAGTTATTATATGTCTTTGACGGAGTCCTATATTTCTAATAGTTTTTTGAAATAATGACAATATGATTGAAATAAAGATAGTGGACAAAAATATGACTTAGGTACTACCATAACAATTTTAGTGACCATGACTTTGTTCATTAGTTATATTCCGGTAATATTTATTAAAAATACTCTTTTTTTGCCCGGATAACAGGGACACAGTTTTTATCTTAAGTACTAATACTAAACTTCATGGTCGGAAGCCGGGTCACTTGCCTCCCCTAGGCCCCTCCCTAGGCCCTCCACTGGATCCTCCACTTGAACCCGCACATGTAGCTATTGTTCCTGCCATAAAGTACACCTATATATGTGCATACATATGTGAAACTTAATTTTTATGTAAATCGAACATCATTGGAAACCAATAACCATCAAAATATATGTAAAAACATTAAGTCATTTAGTCACGCGCAAAATACATCTAAACAAATAGAGTGTATACAAATGATCCAAGCATAACTAACAGTAAAAAGGCCTCGTATTTAATCATTGTCACTACTAATATATTTGAGGCTCTCATCACCATCATCATCATAAACATCATCATCAACATTGCCATCATCATCGTATTCATTACCACTACCACAACTTACAAACTCACTTTCACCATCTTCATCATACTCATCTTCTTCATTGATAGTAAAACCATCTTGAAGAATCTCATATAGAGTTATCACATCAGATGAAGCGACATTTGGTGAAATATTTGTGTCATTCCATAACATAGAGTGTAAGTTTGGTACGTCAACATCCAATTCAATACCCGAAGACTCAACATCTTGGACAATACACGTATTATCTTCTTGATCCGGAGGAAGGTCCCAAATGTGTCTATGCCCAAAATGTTCAACAACTCTCCATTGTGGGCCATTGTAAAGGTCCTCAACATAAAACACTTGCTCTGCTTGAGATGCAAGAATAAAAGGCTCATTTTCATACCAAAAATCCTTGATGCATATGCTCATCTTATTCTTGTACTCTTTGGTTTCCCTTCTTTTCCCTCGTCGGTCTAACCTTGTGTTGTACCACTTACATTTGAAGAAAACAACAGAATTGTTACCTCTGTAACTCAATTCATAAATGTCCTCTAATTGTCCATAAAACACTTCATCATCTGACCCCTTCACAGAAATCCCACTATTTTGAGTTGATCGGTTCATATCCCGATGGTGAGTCAAAAACTTAACTCCATTAACTATACATCCAGGATAACTTTTAGACGTCGGACTAGAACGAAAAGCAAGAGAAACCAATTGTTTGTTCACTTCCGGCCTTGAACACTCACTCTTGGAGGGAAAAGATCTAAACAGATAAACATTTATTAGTTATCAATGAAATTGCACCAAGAAAAATAATATGACTGAAATTATGGATATACCTTCCTTTGAAACCATTCTGGAAACTCCTTAAGTTGAATTTCATCCAAAGAACAGATGGTGTTGTGCCAACTAACCACCTCTTTGTGCTCACTATTCATCATGTAATTATAATGTGAATAAAGAAACATCATATATTGAGTACGCAAGTATAAATACTTTAAATCACTTACTCAATATAGTGTTGGACTTCCGGGCAATTCTGCAAAATGTACCACTCTGCTCTATTTCGCATAGCATAGTCCAAAGTTATTAGAGACCTTTTTGCGATAGGACAGGTTCGAGATTGAAAGATAGATAAACTTCCTACAGAGCTAACATCACTTTCAACCCAATTCCTCTCTAATCTGTTGAATCTTGTCTCAATGTCACTCAAATACATAGAGCAAAACAACAATGCTTCATTTGCAATGTTAGCTTCAGCAATGGACCCTTCTGTACGTGCACGGTTTCTAACATACTTCTTCAATGAGCCAAGAAACCGTTCAATTGCATACATCCACCTTAAATGATCTGGCCCTCCTCGAATTGCTTCCTCTGGTAAATGCATGGTGACATGAACCATGATATCAAAGAAAGCTGGAGGAAAGATCGTCTCCACAATATAACAACAATGTCTTTCTGAGCTTGTTTCAGATCACTTACTCTCACTTTCCTTGAACATATCAACTTAAACAAATTGCATAGCTCGGTGATCACGTCAACTATCTCTTTCTTAAGGAATGGTCGAATGCCGGTAGGCAACAATCGTAGCATAACAACATGACAGTCATGTGACTTCAGACCTGAAATCTTGCTAATCCCTCCTATCACATTCTTCCCTAAGTTGGAAACAAAACCATCTGGAAATCAAACATTTTTTAAGAATTCACAGAACTTTGTGCAATCGGCAGGACTCAACGTGTACGCTGCATGTGGTTTCATTAACTGCTCACCATCTTTATACAAATGTAACTCTTCTCGAACTCCCCAATGGGCCAAATCAATTCTTGCTTTGTCTGTGTCCTTACCTTTTCGGTCAATGCTCAAGACCGTACCAAGTAAGCTTTCACATACATTTTTCTCTATATGCATCACATCTAAATTGTGACGCAATGACAAAGAAAACCAATAAGCAATTCCCAGAAGACACTTTTCTTGGTCCAATTTAACTCATGTGGTTTTCGTTTGCGTTTAAGCTTCTTCCCACCAAAATCTGGATGCTTACCAGGAACACGAGGGCACACATTTTGTAACTGATCTAATATCTAGGGGTAGGGGTGTGCACGGGTCGGGTTCGGGCGGGTCGGGTTTGCGAACCCTAAACCCGTTCGGGTTTTTTAATTTAATTACTAGGCCCGACCATTTGATATTTCAAATCGGGTATTTCGGATATTTTTAAGTCGGATATTATCGGATATCGGGTCGGGTTTCGGATATTTCGGTTATATTAAAAAAATTATAATTGGATAATTAAAGTGTTTAAATGCCACTTTGACAAAAATTGTACACACTAGTGCACTAAACTTCCAAATTACACAAATAGTTTAGCACAAATTGCACAAATAATTACACAAATAATTGAACACAAGTATTAATTTAACATATTCAAAGTACACACTACATAATTTAATATATTTCGGATATTTTGGTTATATCAAAACACATTATAATTGGATGGTTAATTAAAGTGTTGGAATGCAACTTTAACAAAAATTGTACACACTAGTTCACTACACATTCAATTTACACAAATAATTTAATAAAAATTGCACAAATAATTACACAAATAATTGAACACAAGTATTAATTTAAATATTCAAAGTACACACTAACATATATTTCGGATATTCGGGCGGGTCGGGTTGGGATTTCACAAACCCTACCCGCCACCCGGTCTAGGCCCAATACTAATCGGATTTTCGGTTTCGGGTTTTTCGGGTCGGATATCCACTTCGGTTCGGATAATATCCGAAAAAAATATCGGGTTTTTCGGGTCGGATCGGGTTTTGCTCAGCCCTATCTAGGGGTGGGAAAAACCGAACCGAAACTCGGAAACCGACCCTGGACCGACCCGGATTATGATCCCGGTCCGGGTTTTTTCTTTTTGACCGGCCCGAATTTAAAAAACCTGGATTGAACCCAAAATTTCGGGCTCATTAACGGGCCCTAAAATCTATAACGGAACCCGTACCGATAAAAACCCGAAACAATTAGCTTTACTATAAAATTAATATAATATATGAATATAAATTTATGTGGAAGCGGTCCAGCTCAGCTAGTCGCCGACTCACTCTCCCTTATGAGAGGTCTCTGGTTCGAAACTCAATGGAGTGAGTTTCATCTCAGTTTACTCCAGGCCCCCCAGACGCCCCTGGAGTTAAAAAAAATGAATATAAATTTATAAATATTTCCTGATATATGATTATAATCACGGTGGATAAAAAAATGATTTATTAAGTTTTAGTGACTACAAATATGTTCAATTTGTTTAGCGTAATGGCCATGAAAATATATTTATAGCAACTCTAGTCACATTTTTATCTATAAATTTTATTTCGTAATATTTTTAAGAAACCTATATTATTTATTTATATGCATCTTAAATAAAATATTAAGATAATTATCTTCTTTGAATTTGAATTGTTGGTGACTTTGGAGACTAATATTTGTGTTATTATTTGCTGTTTGTATTTTTAATTAATTTTATTTGAAAATAGGTGTTAAAATATAAAAGAACAATGTGATATTTCACGTTCGGGCTTTAACCGGCCCAACACGAACCTGGACCGAACCCGGGCTACCAAAAACCCGACTCGGACCGAATATAATGGGCTTTGTTCTGGTCCCAAATTTTCATAACCCGAGTGTTGGTCTCAGATTTCAGCAGACTAACACACAGCTAGATGGTATTCAACGATAAACAGAGAGAAAGAAGATCTGATAATGATAAAGCAATATCGAGAACAGAGAAATTCTTCTTCTATTATATCGAGAACTGTTTTGACGGCGTAAGGCTAGAGAATAGAATGATCGACTACGGTACCTGTGCAGGACGCGCATATTTATAGGCGCTGCACAGGTTACCAAATTAGGTTACCTAGGAGTTTGGGCCTAAAGCCTTTTTTTGGGCCATATTCCTTTACTCCTATTTAATACATAACAAGACTAAGGGTTGGTTTGCAACTGCTTTTAAAAAAGCACTTATCAGCTTTTGGCTTTAAAAAAGCACTTATTTTCCCAAACACTACAACTTTTATTTTTCTCGGCTTCCGCGTCAAAAGTGCTTTTACTTTTTCTATTACACAAAAAACACTTATTTTACCAAACACTACCCACTTTTACTTTTCAAAATCACTTTTTTCTCAAACACTATCAACTTTTATTTAATCACTTCTCCCCATTTCATTAAAAAAGTACTTTTTTAAAAGCAGAAGCTGTTGCAAACAGACCCTAATACCATAAATGGTACATCTATTCTAATTTACTTAAACAAGACATTACAGACAAACTTGATTCACAATAAATAGTTCTAACACCGAGACCTTCCGGGTAATTTCTGGGTTTAGCAAAAACCCGACCTAGACCGGACCGATCCCACCCCTACTAATATCTCTCGCGTGGACTTCTGTTTTGGAGAAGTGCTTTTATCAACCTGGCCATTAAACTTTTTATTCTTCCTCAATATGTGGTCAGTCGGTAGCCATGATCGATGCCCAACATAACATGTTTTACTTGTGATATGCATGGAAGGGGTATCAACATCGCATGAAGAACAAGCATAATAGCCTTGACCACTCCAACCGGATAGACAACTGCGAGCAGGAAAGTCACTAATAGTCATGAGTAAAGTAGCCCGCATTTGAAATCACGTGTTTGTAGCTCCATCATGTACAACCATCCCTTCTGACCACAACTCCTTTAATTCATCAATGAGAGGTCTCAAGAACACATCAATATCCTTTCCATGAGAAGATGGTCCTGGAATTAATAAAGTTAAAAGCTTATAAGGATCTTTAGTACACAACCATGGAGGTAGATTGTATACAACCACAACAACTGGCCACATACTATATGATAAACTCATGTTTCCAAATGGATTGAATCCATCTGTAGACAACCCCAATCGAACATTTTGTGGTTCACTATCAAAGTCGGGGTAGTTCTCATCAAACTCTTTCCATTCTTTGCCATCAACGGGATGTTGCATCATGTCTGGATCAGTTGATTTACCCCTTTGATGCCATGAAATTCGAAATTTAAGAAATCAATTAAACTTAACAGATAAATAATCAATAGTTAATAGAAAATCTCAAAGTTTTTTAGCAACCGAGGGGTGAAGTGATGAGATAAACAGAAAACTAAAGTTGAAATCTGAAAAACTAACCTGAAGACAGCAAGTGCGAGAACTAGTCGAACGAAGAAGACGAAGTCAAGTGCGAAAATAGCTCACCGAGAAGAAACTTGAAGACAACCTGACAGCGATTCACCATACGCTCAGCCCTAACTCACCGAGAAGACTTCCGCCGCTCAGCCATCGTTTGGAAATATCATATGCCCTAACTCACTTGGAAATTGAGCTGCTGCTCTTTAATTTTCTTTCAGCATTGGGGTCGGCATACAGACGCTAATAATTAACGCTAGGTTTGCCCATTTTCACATTTCGTTTTTCTGTGTGGACACTCAGTGACGCAAATACAATTCAACTCTTTTAGCACCCACTTTTCGACGCAAATAATAAAATTGTATAAGTTTTTTTCCGGAAATTAATTATCATCATTTGCGTCGACGCGTCGACGCAAAATAGTAGTTATTTGTGTCCACTTTTGTCAACACAAAAAAGTTGGACGGAAATGATCCTATTTCTTGTAGTGCGATGTAATACTATGGTTTCTTATATTGGTTCTTCTCAAACTTCTAGAAACGAATCAATATGGGCTTAACGGTTTTTCATGTGGTTCCTAACTTTCTTTCAAGAATTGAAGCAATCTCACCCCCTACATTCTTTCATAAGACGACATATAAAATATCACTTTTTAATCTATTTTTAAAATCTTGTGTATCAGTATTAATGCATAATCTCCTTATTCAACTTTATCTTTACAAACTTATAAAGGTGAATGAGAGTTAGGGCTGTTTAGGAATGCAAAATGTGTTGGTTGTAATAAAGGCAATACTTAATTGTACCTTATGCTATCTATGTTATTCGTAATGGTTAAATTTTAAAACCTTTCACTTAAGCCCTTTCCGTTATAAATCTCCGTTATATAAATGTTATTCTCAATCTTCATTCTCTCTTCTCTTCTCACGGCATACACCCACTTCTAGTGTTTTATCTCATGCATCATACTCCATATATTTTATCTCATTTAAGTGCCAATGAGGCAATCCTCGTCATTCCTAAGTATTCCTCGTTATTCCAATGAGCAATTTTTAATTGAAAGTGAACATAGTGCTTTTAATTTTATTGAATTGGGTTTATTCTTGAGTTTATTGAATCATTTACTTGGACATGGAATGCCAAGATTACGAAATTCATATGTCCAATATCCACGAGGTAAACAAAGCATTCACAATAGTTTCTATTTTTAAAAAGTTATTTTTGTAAGTAATTTTAGAAAATGTGCTTAGTAGTAAAAGTTGGTAACGTTTTGAAAAAGTGTGTTTTTGGAAAAAGTAAATAGTTGACAGTATTTGTAAAAAAATACTTTATGTATAAAATAAAACGTTAAAAGCAATGTAAATTAAAGCATCATCTACCAGCTTCTAGTTTTTTGTTTTTTAGTGCTCAATTTAAACATAAATACGTCACTTGAAAACACATTTAAAATTACTAAAACTAAAAGACGTAAAGTGTTTTTTTATTCTTACAAGCACTCCCTAAATTTCAACATGAGAAGCGATTCATCTCTCACGTGCTTTCTTGCTAATAATCATAAAAATCTAGTGACCATCCATTTGTGTACTTCTGAAGCAGTTTACGTTGTATATGAAAACTGCAACTCAAGAATGTAATTGTTTAAATCAAGAGGCTCACAATTTGTAATTTTTATTGTATGTTTATATTTAATTTGAAAAGAGAAATTCTATCTTAATCACTCTTGATGTTTGTAAATTTGTTTACATAGTGTTTTTGTTAATATGAAACTTCTTTTCAATTCATGGTCTAATTTAGATTCTCGTGTATGTATTGGTAACTACAAGTGTTTTCTCATGTTGAATTGATGCTTTTAGGTCATTTTGAGTGAAGATTACGACTTTTATAAATTGTGATTTTATTTAAATGGTTTTGTTGTTTTAGTGAATTTGAAGAAATATTACATGAAATCATGATAGCGTCATTAAGTCATGCATGTTATTGGGCATCTTTCCATCGCGCAACGCGCGTAACACAACTAGTTTATCATAAAATGAAAAAAATATCAAAATTTGATGTTTAGATCTTGCATATTGAGACCACCCTGATACCGACCTCCGGACCTGACCGTTACTAGTGCAGGACATGTTGGCCGATTAGTGATTCCAGGTAAATAATTAGCCAAATTTGCAATCAGATTTATGCGTATTCGTGAAGAGTAAAAGACAATTGAAAAGTCCACAAAACTCTTTGGTAAGGAGAAAAGACAATTGCAGAGAACTAATGTACTAAAAATGAGTTAAAGTTCACGAGAATGCATGATTTTAGAAGTCAATAAGAATGAAAGAAAGTTTGAATACGCCTAGACTTTTATAAACTTTTAAAAGTCAACGTAGACTTTTGTAGGCTTTTAAAAGTCTACATTGAATACACCTAAACTTTTAAAATTCCGGAGGTTTAAAATTTTGTCACTAATTTCTAATACAATACACCTTCTTTGGCATTTGGACCAAGAGTTACATTCTTAGGCTCCGATTTGTGAGGGATTAACACTAAAACATCACATTGCAATGGATTAGTACTCCCTCCGTCCCTATTTGAAAGTACCATTTTGCTTTACACACAATTTTGTTTATCAAATTAGGAAAGGAGACTTTTTTAGGGACGGTTCGAAAAATAAAGTGATATGTTTATTTAGGGACGAACAAAGTAGCAAAATCTGTTTACTGCCTTTTTAGAAGTAAAAATTTTGTAATTTATAACCTCACCTCACACCCCAAGTAACACCAAGTGAAATAGCAGCATGGTTTAGATTTTTTATAGGAAAAATTAAACCTAGCCACCTTTTAAATGACCATTTTGGAAAGGGAAAATGGAAACTAATAATCCAACCTTTTAGCGGTCTTCTTACAATAGTCCCACCTTTTCGTTATTCAATAATAATCCAACCTTTGCACCTCATCTTCATTCGCTGGTCCCAGACCGGTTAATGACCTGCTATTCCAAGTTATTTTTTATCTTTGCGAAATATTATCTTTGCGAAAGGTGAGATTTACGGTACAATGGTTTGCAAAGATAAGAAAATAACTTGGAATAACAGATCATCAACCGGTCAGGGACCAGTGAATGAAGATGAGGTGAAAAGGTTGGATTATTCATGAATAATGAAAAGGTGAGACTATTGTAAGAAGACCGCTAAAAGGTTGGATTATTAGTTTCCATTTTCCCTTTTGAAAATTAAGTAAATGTTGTTGGGTCATATAATTCCTACTAAATTTATATAAAGGCTTCAACTAAGAACTGCATTGTGGACCTTGCCTCAAATTGTGCCACACATATTACTGATAGCCCGATAGGCCGGATATTGGTGGACTACTTAATTTTTATTTGAGATTCTGATGGAAGGATTTGGGTCAATCCGCAAATCCATCTATCTCGAACATCTTTCATGGATGAACATCCTTCAAACAAATAATCGCATCCTCGTTTCATTGTCAATTTTGTTTTTATGGATTGAGTAACTTGTCGAGTCAACCTATTTTCTAAATACTTTGCTAGTAGCTTTATTTTTTATTTGATTGTACTTTTATGATCGATTGTGTCTAAATTGTTTAAGTTCGATCTTTCTGGTATGAACTGACTAACATGGTCTAGTCGATAGACGTATGTTTTATGTGTATTTTACAAATGTCAAACTTTAGTATGGTCAAATCTAATTGGATTTGTCCGAGTCTTGTGTGGAGCTAAAACTAGTCTAACTAAAAATATCTTAAGCCCGACTATAGAGTAGTTAGAACATCTCCATTGATGATACTAAAAAGGCTTGAGCTTTGGTCATTATCTCAACAAGGCTTGAGCTTCCGAATTTAGTATGACTCTCAATCATTCATATCTTTATAGATTTTTTTTTGTATCTTGTTACCACGTATGACATATACTTTCTCAAAATAATTTAAATTCATATTTTCATCTCAATTTTTTTAATAAATAATCTCATTAAATAATACTCCATATATGTTCCTTACCAACATAAGCTGTCACATAATCTACATAATTTCCTAACAATCATAGTAACAGAGATATATAGCCTTATACTCGAGCATATATAATAACCCATGGAATATCAAAGCTTTTATATTTATGCAGTGTTGTATCACTCCTATAAATACCATCCAAGGATTAAAAAGACTTTCGAATGGATAAAAAAACAATTTGTATGACACAGAATAAAGATGGATGGATAGAGGTAGGGAAATCGAATCAAAACTAAAAAACTGACCTTGGATAGGCCCAAAAGAAATTAATGGTTTGATTTTTTTCCTTTCTAGATTTTCCAATAAAAATACCCAGACAGGATCCGAAAGTTTGGGCTCATTAACAATCCTTAAAATCAATAACGGCTCGGACTGGTTAAAGTTTAAAACAATTATTTTTAATATAAAATCAATATAATATACTAATATTATTTCGAAATGATTTCTAATATATGACTAAACAAGGCGTGGTGGTAAAAAAAAGGGACTTATTAACTTTATGTGGCAACAATCATATTCAATTGAGTGAGCCTTAAAATATCTTAATTGCAATTTTGGCACTTTTTATTAAAAGATTTTAACTAGTACTAGTGATATCTTAAGAAAACTATCTATTATTTATACGCCTTGTTTATGAATATTACTAATTTATACTTTCGTATACAATTAACAAAAATGTGATATATTTCTTAGTGATAGATAGTCTATACTGGGATACCGCTAGTAGTATCTAGAAAGAAGGAAGATCAATAAGTAAGAGAGAGAAAATGCAATAGTATTAAATAAATAATGATCTATTACAACTATCCAAAGAGCGCTATATGTACTAGTCATAAATGCTACGTGCTATTAAATGCACATACACGTGTAAATTAATCTATGGTGGAGAGCCCCCCTGTGATGCGGATGCTGGCATGGGGAATGACATTAAATGCGATGGTTGGGCGTTGAGGAACGCTTCACAGAGAGGAGCATGTGCCGAAACCGGGGCCTTCGGCATCAGGGCCGAAGGCTATATGACCAAGGGATGGTGTGAGGAAGTGAATTTCAACGGCCTGTCATTGGATTAAAATTTGTTGATTCCCCTGAGTTTGAGGCCTTTGGCCATGGTGCTGAAGGCAGTCCCTTGTGAGGTATGGTGTTGATGTACATTATTTAGTACATTATTTAGTGTACATTTTTTGGGTCACGTACATAATAGAACGTATGCGTATAGATAACTTCTAGTGATTATCCGTATATTTTCTTTCCTTGTAATTTTATTCTTTGTATTTATCACTTCCTAATTCTTAGCC